GGGGGGGAGATGGAGCTGCTATGGGGGGAACCACTGTGTGTGGGGGGTGGAGATGGAGCTGCTATGGGGGGAACCGCTGTGTGGGGGTTGGGGGTGGAGATGGAGCTGCTATGGGGGGAACTGCTGTGTGTGGAGGGGTATGGAGGAGGAAGAGGGGTCCCCAGCTGCAGGACCTGTAGGGGACAGGGGTGGACAGACATGGGGAGAGATGGGAGCGAAGGAAGCATCTAGAGTCGGCAGCAAGGTGGACTTCTCGGGCCACCTGTGCAGGGTGGGTCCCATGCAGGGGTCCTGCTGGAGGGAGGCGGCAGAACTGCCCAGAGAGGACGCCAGGAAGGTCAGGAGAACACTGGCCACGTCAGGGCTGCTGAAGCCCCGGGCTCCGGGGCCCTCGATCCCGCCAGCAGAGGTCAGGCCTGGCTTGGAAGGTTGGATGGGTCAGAGCCTGCAGCTGCCTGGCACAGGGTCCTTCCCTAAGTGGAGGCCAGGCTGTCTGAGGTGTGTCTCAGTGTTCCTCCCAGACCAGCAGGTGGCGCAGAGAGGACTATCCCAGGCTCTGGGTCATGAGACCTGAGCATCCTGACATTTGTCCTCTGGGTCAGGCTGCGGCCCCACCTGCACAAAGAGGGCAGAGCTCTAAGGCCAGGGCCCCCACACACCCCTCCAACACAAGGCTGATAGCTGGGTGCTGGTGGCCTACATCTGTAATGCTAGACACTCAGGCTGAGATCTGAGGATCCCAGCTGAAAGTCACCCGGCAGGGAAGTCCATGAAACTGTTTTCTCTCATTAACCAGCACAAAACTGGAAATGGAGGTATGGCTCCAGTGGTAGAGTGCTAGCCTTGAGTAAAAAAGCTAACAGACAATGCCCAGGCTCAAAGTTCAAGCCCCAGAATGGGCATTAAAAAATAACAGCAAAATAAATAAAAACAAGCCTGTTCCAGGAGTTGTTGTCTCTTTCCTTTTTCAGGGGGAGGGGAGAGACCAAGAAACCCACCTTTATGATCAGGAAACAGCACACAGTGGGGTGGTAGGTGTGGCTTTAGGGTGGTAGGTGTGGCCTTGGGTGGTGGGTGTGGCCTTGGGTGGTAGGTGTGGCTTTAGGATGGTGGGTGTGGCCTTGGGTGGTAGGTGTGGCTTTAGGGTGGTAGGTGTGGCCTTGGGGTGGTAGGTGTGGCCTTGGGTGGTAGGTGTGGCTTTAGGATGATAGGTGTGGCCTTAGAAGGGTCCCTGTGGGAGCAGAGGAAACTCAGCAGACTGCACAAGTGGGCAGAGAACCCCAAGCCTCCCTGGTGTGAGTGCGGAGCCCAGCGGCCCAGGGAGGCTGGGCCTGTGCGGAGCCCAGCGGCCCAGGTTGGCTGGGCCTGTGGGGACCCAGCGGCCCAGGGAGGCTGGGCCTGTGTGGAGCCCAGCGGCCCAGGTTGGCTGGGCCTGTGCGGAGCCCAGCGGCCCAGGTTGGCTGGGCCTGTGGGGACCCAGCGGCCCAGGGAGGCTGGGCCTGTGCGGAGCCCAGCGGCCCAGGTTGGCTGGGCCTGTGGGGACCAGCAGCCTCAGCCCTGATGGCTGTGGATGCTTTGGGGACTCAATGGACTCCGTGGACCACCAGGTCAGCGGTGTGTACCACGGCTTCCTGGTTCATAACAAGAGAAGAAAGCTGCTGAGCTCAGTGGAGCACAAATCTGAACGTGTGGCCTGCGGGTGGCTTTGTTGACACGCTCCCTCACCCAGAAAGGCCTGAGGCACACGTGACTCGTGCGAAATGCTTCCCCTGGGCTTAGGAGAAGAGGGTCGGAGCAGGGTCCTTGTTTGTCCGTGGAGTGGGCACCTGGTCTAAGCAAACTCACGCAGTGCCAGGACGTTAGCCAGGGGGAGCTGGGAACCCCTCTTCCGGGGGCCTCAGGACCCTCGGTCACGCACAGCCTTCCGCTTTCCCGCCCGAGAGCCCGCTCACAGAAATAAAGACAGGCCACAGCCTCCGCAGGGGGAGCATCCTCATGCTGGTGGGGTCTTTATTCCTGAGGACTTCTGGCCGGGGCGCGCACGGTCAGCAGACTCGCTGGCCAGGGCGGGAGGAGCGCGGAGACCAGCGGGGCCTGGCCAGCCGGCCACTCAGCGCCCGGAGCCGGGCGGCTTCAGAAGGTGCATTCTGGGGAGGAAGCGAAGGTGTTGCCAGCGTCACCGCCTGCCGGGCTTCCTTCGCCAGCTTTCCAGGGACATGCAGGGTCCCCCCAGCCGGAGAACCACCCGAGCCCCCACAGTAGCTGAGGGTTGGAGCAGGGAGTTCAGGAGATGGCTGTGGTGTTGGGGTGTGGCCCCCAACGTGTGGATGGACAGGAGTGGCCATGGCCAGCTTCGCCCAGGCCCAGCCCTGGACCTTCACCCTCGGTCAGGGACCAGAGCTGCAGGAACCCAGCCTGCTCCTATTATCTGGGTCAGCAGGCCAGACTGCTGCTTCTAGAAGGTACCTCAGACCCTCTTAGAAGGTGAGCTGGCACTTGGGCAGGCCGTGGCTCATCTCAGCCAGCCTGGCCCGGGAGGAGGTGGGTGGGCCTCACCGAGGCAGCTGACAGCCTCCCCGCACACAGCCACCTACTGCCCCAGGGGCACCCCCCAGGGGCGGCTCCGGGAGGGCGGGGCCGAGGCACCTGAGGGCCAGCAAGGCCACCCGGCAGCTGACCCCTGTGAGTGTGTCAGAGACAAGGGACCCGGGAGTTCCCACTCTCTCCACGGCAGGGCTTCACGTCCCCCCTCTGCATCATGCCTTAACGTGGACACATTTTCAGAGCTCTAGAGAAAGGGGACACGAGGGTCCAGCCCCAGCCCCTGGCCACTCGCTGTTCGGATGGGAACCCTCCGCCGTTGCCCAGGGACAGGGACACTGCTGGGCTGATGTCCTGCTGAAGCCCGACATGCAAGGATTCCTGGGGACCTCACATGACCAGCTTCTGCTGGGGAAGGCCGGGGCTTCCCCGGTCACCGCGGGGGGGGGGGCCCTGTGCCCTTACCTGTCTCCTGCAGCGGCTTGAAGCACCAGGGAACGTTCCGGATGCTGGAGTCGAAGCAGCAGCCCCTGTTATTGCACTGCTCCTTGGTAACCTGGGGGTACCCGCAGTCCACCCGTTCCTTGGCTGGGACTTGGCACTGGCTTGCAGCTGCCCAAACGAAACCCAGCTGGCCGTCAGAGCCCCACGAGTTTGGGGTTCACTCGCTTGTTTCATTTTGCAAGTTCGCATCCCTTCCCCTGCTCCTGAGCCCAGGGAGATGGGCTTGCGTAGAGACACGGACACCTGCCCTGCAGTCTGTCACAGGCACGTTCACCTGGTCAGAAAATCCAGCTGGCAGGACCCATGGGAATCTGGGGTCCTTGAACCCTTAAGACTAATGTCCTACCACCTGAGCCACAGTTTTCTGGTGGTTCATTGGAGATAAAGAGTCTCACAGACTTTTCTGCCTGGGCTGGCTTCAAACTATGATCCTCAGATCTCAGCCTCCTGAGTAGCTGGGGTTACAGATGTGGGCCACTGATGCCTGACTACTTTTCCCTTTTGTAAAAATGCAGATGTAAGCCAGGCACCCAGTGGCTCACGCCTGTCATCCTAGCTACTCAGGAGGCTGAGATCTGAGGCTTAGAGTTCAAAGCCAGCCTAGGTAGGAAAGTCTATGTGAGCCTATCTCCAATTAACCACCAGGAAACCAGAAGTGGAGCTGTGGTTTAAACTGGTAAAGCTCTAGCCTTGAGTGGAAAAAGCTCAGGGACAGCACCCAGGGCCTGCGCTCAGTCTCGGGACAGACAAAAAGAAAAAAAAGAAAAAAGAAAATAAACTGCAAATGTAGCAGAAGAATGGCTCTCACCTGCCTCGCGCTAAATTCTTCAGCCTGGCCACCTCCCACCTGCTCTGTATAAAAATGTTATGGAGCCAGGCACCGTGGCTCACACCTGTCATCATTAGCTACTCAGGAGGCTGAGATCTGAAGATCACGGTTCAAAGCCAGCCCAGGCAGGAAACTCCGTGAGACTCTTATCTCCAATAAACCACCAGAAAACCAGAAGTGGTGCTGTGGCTCAAGCAATAGAGCGCTTGCCTTGAGCTGAAGGGCTGAGGAACAGCGCCCAGGCCCAGATTTCAAGCCCCATGACTGACCAAAAAAAAAAAAAAGTTATGGAAGCTGGGCACCAGTGGCTCACGCCTGTAATCCTATCTACTCAGGAGGCTGAGATCTGAAGATCTCGGTTCAAAGCCAGCCTGGACAGCAAAGTCTGGGAGATTCATCTCCAATAAACCAGCAGAAAACCTGAAGTGGCACTGTGGCTCAAGTGGTAGAGCACTAGCCTTGAGCTGAAGAGCTGAGGGACAGAGTTCAAGCCCCACAACTGACAAAAACAAAAGTTCTGGAGCCAGGCATGGTAGTACACACCTGTAATTCCAACTTGGCCGGTAGAGACAGGAGGATGGCAAGTTCTAGGCTAGCCTGGGCTATACAGTAAGACGCTGCCTCATGAAACCCCAAACCAAACAAACCAGGGTCTAGAACTAACCCTTTTCACCTACCTCCCCTTTTGGTCTAGTAAGTGTGCCAAAATGAGGTCTAAAGACTTGTTTTATGAACCAGAAATATCTGCCCAAAAGAGGTGTGGGATAGAAGATGAGCTTCCAGACCCCTGCCTAGCCTGCTCCAAGCCCCAGGTTTGACTTGAGATGGGAGGGTTGCTTTAGGTTCCTTAGCAACCTTCTCTGAGCCTCAGTTTCCCCATCTGCCTAATGGGGACAGTGAGACGCCATCTGTGGGACTAGCAAGAAAAAGTGTCTGTGTGACAAATGACAATTTGTAAAAGGACACAGAGACGCTTGCCAGTTTTCCAGCCGGAGCCCAGCAGAGAGAGGCCCCCCCCCCCCCCGCTCAGAGGAAGTACTCACACAGGCCCACGTACTCCCCGGCCGAGCCGGTGGACACCAAGACCAGGCCAAGCAGCAGCCACCACAGCGCTCTGGGCTCCATGACAACCGGCGAGCTTGCGACCTGGCACGGGAGGCTGTGGCCAGCCCCAGGAGGGCCCCTTTATACCCCCGGTGGGCACGGCCTCCCCATTACGTTTGCTTGGGCCCCCAGCTCCGCCTGCTTCTCTCCTGCCTGGAAGGATGGCCTGGGCCACGCCCCACACCAGCCATCCGGTGACCTTAGGCTTCAGCCCAGGAGTGGTGCAGACCTGAGCTCACCATCGCTCATCCCCGAGGAGACCCAGCACCGCACCGGAAAGCCCAGCAGCAGCTGGGGGCCGGGTCTACCGGGAACTTTCATTGATTGGGGCGTGAACTCAGGGCCTTGTGCTGGCTGGCAGGCGTGCTGCTGTTCTGGCCACACCCACCTCCCCCAGAACTTTTTCCTCCGATTATTTTTCAGATGGGGTCCTTTGCTTGGCCTCTTGATCTCTGCTTCTCATCCCACTGAGACGATAGCTTTGTACCACTGTGCCTGGTCCTGTTGTTTTGCTGTAATTATTATTTAATGTGTCATTTTATTGTATGTACTTGGACAAAGGAGTTGCAATTTAACAAATCACGTGACAAGTACAATGCCTCTTGCTCCCTCTCACCCCCTTCCACCGCTCCGCCCCCCCTGCCTGCCCCCCCCCACGTACTCATCGGGACATTGAGTACATATGACTGTGTGCATTGGCTCTTTCCTCTCCCTTTGTCTGCCTCCTCGTAGCTCTTCAAATGGAATTCCTTTTGGATTTAGTTTTTGTGCAGCAAAACCGTTTTTATTATAAGCTAGATTGGACAAAAGGGACACACCCTTGGTTTTTATTTACCTTTTCTTTTTTTGGTATTGGGGATCGAACCCAGGATGTTGAACTTGCTAGGCAAGTGCTTTGCCAACGAGGTACAAGCCAGCCCCCACACAGCGTTTAAATAAATATCACAAACCTTCTTCCTCTTTGTCCCCCAGAGGACACATTTTAAGGCAAATAGCAGCCCTTTACCCAGCTTGCCTGTTTTCTTTCTTTGTTTTCTTTTGTTTCCAGTTAACACTGTTATCTTGGGAAGCAAGAATAATTACCTGTCTCCGGGAGGAGGCAACCAGGCTGTCATGGACGGTGCCCAGCCTGCATCTGAGGGCACCAAGGCCCCTCATCCCACCCCCAGCTCCCCAGGTAGCCAGGCTACCACCACTCACTGGGCCTTGCTGCCATGTAAGAACCCTACTGCTGCTCCCTGAGCCCCCGCCATTATGCCCAGGATTGGGACTTGGGAGGGACCCCAAGAACGTCCAGTGGAGCCAGGCACCGGTGGCTCACGCCTGTCATCCCAGCTACTCAGGAGGCTGAGATCTAGGGATCACAGTTCAAAGCTAGCTCAGGCAGCAAAGTTCCTGAGCCTCTCATCTCCAACAAACCACTCAGAACACTGGAAGTGGCGCTGTGGCTCAAGTGGTAGAGCCCTAGCCTTGAGCTGAAGAGCTGAGGGACAGCGCCCAAGCCCAGATTTCAAGACCCACGACTGAAAAACAAAGTGTCCAGTGGGGAGGCAGGTCATGGTGTGTGAGATGGTGAAGCGGAGGGTCTGGATCCCACGCTCTGACCGTGGCACCGTGCATACCACTTTCCAGCCTGCCTCAGTTTCCTCTCGTGTGCCCGGCCTTTGGCCCTTGGTGAGCTGCTGGTGCATGGCGGGTGCCCAGGGGCTCCGCAGCAGCCAGGTGGTGGACAGGCCAGACCCTGGGCGCCCGGCTTGGGTGGGGAGGAGGCACTGTCGGGAGGGGCAGGCGGCCCGGCTTGGGGCGAGCTCACACCGGTGTCTGGGGCTCGGCTGGTGTTTGGAGACAGAGCTGCTGCGTGTGTGGCGCCCTCCCCTGTGAACGGCGGCACCCTTCAGGGACCCGCGCTCTGCAAAGCAGACAGGGATGGGGGCCAGGAGGGCCCCCCCCGGCCTTCCCCACCCCCCTTAACTCCTCAGAGCAGGTCAAGTTCCAGGGTGGAGCAGAGCTGGGGCCAGAGCCAGGGCCCCAGGCCGGGCTTGAGCCACACCCTGACAGGTGGTGACCAGGCTCCCGTTCCTCCCTCCTCCAATCCGGACAGCCACCACCCTGCCTGTGTGCAGGTGCACGGTCCCGGGAACAGCCTCACGCCTCGGGTGGAGCTTCACACCCAAGCTCACCGCCCGAGAGAAAGAGCAGCCCTGAACACGAACTGGGGTGTGACACAAGTGCTGGCTGGATGGGTGAATTCTCACTGGGTCTTGAGGGATGAGTAGGAGCTGGCCAGGTGGGTGGCGGTCAGAAAGCATCAGGAAGGACTCGGCTCCGCCTGCTCGGCTCTGCTGGCTCCACACGGAGATGCAGGAGGGTCGGACGCAGAGTCGTCTCTTTCTGTTCTCAGCCCCAGCCAGCAGCCAGGCCCAGGAAGAAGCACAAAGGTCAGAGGGCCCCGCCCGGGAGCGCCGCGGACCAGCTGCTGCCCGGGGCAGGGCCCCCATCTCTGCACAGCCCCTCTCCAGACCCTTCCTGAGCCTCTGACCAGCTGCTGCCCGGGGCAGGGCCCCCATCTCTGCACAGCCCCTCTCCAGACCCTTCCTGAGCCTCTGACCAGCTGCTGCCCGGGGCAGGGCCCCCATCTCTGCACAGCCCCTCTCCAGACCCTTCCTGAGCCTCTGACCAGCTGCTGCCCGGGGCAGGGCCCCCATCTCCACACGGCCTCTCTCCAGACCCTTTCTGAGCCTCCGGGACCCGGATGTGGGCGTGGTGGGGGGTCGGGATTCATGGTCCACAGGGGGTATGTGGGCCCTGTTGAGGGGCACACAAAAGTGGTACCCCACCTACAGAAAGGGGGTCCCCACGAGGGCCCGGAGTTCCTGCCCCAAATCCAGGGCCCATGCCCATCCACCTCCCACAGGAAGACACGGGGTGAGCCACGCCCAGCGCAGGGAGTGGGGGGTCTCCCACCCCCTTCCCGGAGAGCCCTGGGGTGGGGTGCAGGGGGAGGGGCGGGGAGCAGCCGGGCAGAGCTCCGCTGTGCGGCGTTGCTTGTCCCGGGCAGGACATTTGCCCAGCGGGCTCCATCTCCACCCCTGGGTGGGGCAGCGCTGCACACCTGTGCAGCAGGGAGACAGCTCCCAACCACCCGGCCCAGCCCAAACTCCTTCCCACACTTCCCCCCTCCCCTCTGCAGGAGGCCCCCTCACCCCTCCCATGAACCACGGCTGCCACAGCACGGGTTCTCACACAGCCACGGTGTGGCGTGGGCAGCCAGGGGCCGCACCTGCAGCGTCCACACAGCCCCGCGAGACCACCCCGGTGCCGCACGCCGGGTGGTGACTAAGTACCCACCCTCCCGTGGCCGGGGCTCGGGGGCACGCCTCATCTGCCCGCAGCCGTGACCACCACGGGCGTGACCACCACGCGTGATCACCACGCGGTGCCTGGCACGAACCCGGCCAGGGCTGCAGCTCGGCGGATGCCGACACCGGCTGCGGCTGTGGAGCGTGAGCGCTGCTCCACTGTTCTTTGTTTCTGGGAAGCAGAGCATGTATTACAATCTCATTTATTAAAAGTTCTGATTGAGCCGGGCACTGGAGGCTCACGCCTGTCATCCTGCTACTCAGGAGGCTGGGGTTTGAAGGTCATGGTTCAAAGCCAGCCTGGGCAGGAAAATCCATGAGACTCTTATCTCCAAGGAACCACCAGAAAACCGGAAGTGGCACTGTGGCCCAAAGTGATAGAGAAAACACCCACGCCCTAAATTCAACCCCAGACCAACAAAAAACAAAGCTATTACCTAATTTATAAAAAAAAAGTATGATTGTCTAATCAATAATCCATCTTCATGGTTTATTAGCTGTCCCAATAATGTTCTTTGTAACTGATTTCTATGCCCAGAACCAAGGCTTCCTTGGTGTATTTGGACTTATTTCTATTTAGGCATAGAGAGCTTTTTTGTACATTTTAATGAGCTCTATTATGACACACCTCGATCATATTCTGCTCCCTCTGCTTCCCCCCCCCCCCCATGGTCTCCTGCCTTTTCTCAAATAGTTCCCTTCTTCTGTCAAGTTGTTTGTTTGTTTGTTTTTAACTTTAGATTCAGCAAATATCTGCTTTTCTGAGTCTGGCTTATTTCCTGAAGCTTCCTCGTGAATCAGTAGAAGGGGTACACTGTACAGTGGCGCTTACAAAAGTACAGCATGCTAACAACGTAAGCCAGTACCATCGGCTCAGTATCCACCTCAGGTTCGATGTCCTGCGCACTGCGGTGAGGGCTGGGCTGTTGTCTGACTGTTGCACAGCGTCTGCCCACACAGGGTCACACCAATGCCTGGTACTGACTTGCGCCATCACGTGACGAAGCCCCGGGAATTTTCAGCTGCAGTAAGCTCATGAGACACCGCGTCCTGTGCCGTGTGTCACTGAGTGTACGAGAGCTGGCAGAGGCCAGCTAACCTCCCTGAATCAAAACAAGAAAATCTGAAATGACCTAAGACGTGTGTGTGTGTGTGTGTGTGTGTGTGTGTGTGTGTGTGTGTGTCTGTCGGTTGTGGGGCTTGAACTCTGGGCCTGGGCACTGTCCCTCAGTTTTTCAGCTCAAGGCGAGCACTCTACCACTTCAGCCACAGTGCCACTTCCAGTTTTCTAGTGGTTTATTGGAGATCAGTGTCTCAAGGACTGAGACCAGCTGTGCAGTCAGATCCATGGAGCATCGATCACCCCTGAGCAGCTGTGCCGCTCAGGCCTCCTAAACCTGTGGTAAATATTGACCTAAACCGATGTGAGCGAAATGGCATTTTCATGTCAGTTTATCTTTCAGTCCCTCAGCCTCCAGTCAGGTTGAGACATTTTCCAATCTTTATCGACTATGCTGGTTTCCTTTACGACGGATTTCCTCCTCGTAGATTTTTTTTTTTAATCAGATAGTAATCATGGGTCCTTTATCTATCCTGGGTAGCAATTCCTGATCAGTTGTACAGGCTTTCAAATATTTTCCAGTTTCATGGCTAGGATTATTT